TTTTTTTTTTTTTTATTGGACAGGATGGTTTTTTATGAGACGGTATTTGGCACCTGATATTCCTTTTTCTGATGTTTACAGCGATCTTTCATTTTTTTTTTAATGCTGCTGATGTTTATTTTGGAATTAGTAATTAAAATACAGTTAAAGTTTTTTTAAGGTAGTGGAGGATGGGTATGAATTCTTTGCTAAAAGGCAATTGGTAACGTTGTTCTCGGCTCCTAACTACTGCGGAGAGTTCGATAACGCGGGCGGCATGATGAGTGTTGATGAAACACTTATGTGCTCGTTCCAGGTAACTACGCAAGCTGGAAAATATATTTCTCGCTTAGTACGCTATGAGAGCAGAATTTGATCTATGTATATCCTAATTCAGCTGAAAAATTGATTTTACTTCTCTAAGTTTTTATTCGGTATTTATATTTTTTTATGTTATCGAGGAATTTCTGAAACGTCGTTTAGATTTTAAAACCGTCTGAGAAGAAGGCAAAGTATCAGTATGCAGGTCTTAACAGTGGGCGTCAAACACAAACTCCGACAAGGCCAGGAGGTCCAACTGCTGGTATGCAGAAAAAAAAGTGAGGTACACTAGGCCTTGGCATCTTGAGTTTGCGTTGGGCTAAATTCAATTTGTTTCAACACTGTAAATAAATGGGTTGTGATTCAAAGTGTTTTCTTAGCAAATTTTTACCCTGATACGATTTTGTTATGGGGCAAAGATGAACGGGATTGGTTGAAGTCTTTATTTTTCATGTGAAAATTTGTTATTTTGGTTTTGCAAAACAAGTAGGCGCTCTTTGTTTTTTTTTTTTATTCATTTTTAACTATTTTTGTTTTTTTTCGTAGTTTAGCATAGCTTTCCTGCTGAAAAAAATTTAGAACAAAGTACTGAACTTATTGCGTTAAATATTGTTTTGATTTTGTTTTTTAGTTTTTCTTTTTTGTTTCTTGTATGTTGGTTTTTTTTAGTTTTGGAGGCACTGTGTTTAGATTCGTTTTATGAAATATATTGTGTTCATACTAAACATTGAGAGATACTGATATTTTTTCGTTGTGTAAAATTAGGGGGCTTATACTTACAGCAATTAGAGTGTTTAATCCAAGTGTGTCTTGCATTTACGGAGCTTCGTTTTAATAGATTCTTTGTTGTTTTTTCTGAACCAAAAATCGATTTTTATTTTCCGGAATTTTGTCAGCTTGTTTCATTTCTTCAGATTATTTGCCTTTTTAGGTGTGTTGAAGCGTGCTTATTATTTATTTTTTCATTTTTATTTTTTTGTAGAGAGGAAAGTTCCTCACCATTATGCAGTGTGCAAGATTGGATTTTGGTTTCTTTAGATCACATCGTACTTTGTCTCTCTTCATTTCCGAACCAAGATTTTCATTTATTGTTTGGGTGTGTCAGCTTTTAGATGTCATCGACTCAGTCCTAAAAAATGTCAAAATAATAAAGAATCTTTGCGGTGTGCTTCAGAAAATTGTGATGTAATCGATTTATGTAGTGCTCATTGTTGGAAAAAAGTTAGAAGAAGCGATGACTATTTAATTTGTAAAGAAGACGGAAAGCTTATCTCATATGGATATCATGAGAGTGTGGGTTTGCATTATTTGCTGCTAGTTGATGGGTCAAAATTGATTACATTTCCTATTTTGTATAAGTGAAGTGGGCAGTTAAGCCATAAGTTTTTGTGTCTCTAATTAGGCATCTTGCTGTGATGTTGTCCTTTGAAGCACTATGTGGTTGTTTAACACAAATAAGTGGGAGGCAGTTTGCAGGAAAAGGAAGATCATAGATATCCTGTAGTATTTGGGATGTTATTTGTAGTTAGTCAAGTATACAAAGTTTAAATTACGCGCTAATAAGCGGAGGAGAAGTTCTTTGTCACAGTGGATGGTTATTTCTGTTCAACCGTTGTTTTAGTGGTATTGTTGCGCATTTCATCTGTGGTTTCCCTACTGTTTTTTAAACAATTAGCAGGAGCATTCATAATATAATTTTAGTGCATTTATAACGACATCAGCTTGTCGAAGGTATAGTTGTAGTTGAGACTTATTAAGATCTCATTTGTTGACAGGAAATAGTTTTATGTATAATTTGGGGGGAAAAAAGAGGTTTCAAAGAGGCCGTCGGTTAATCGGGGACGCATAGCTGGAACGTCTATAATTGCGGTAAACGAAGTTCGTTTGTCGACGAGGGGGTGACAGCATGTAAAAGCTTTATACTGGAGAAGTTAGGCATTGGGTCGTTGTGATGCCTCGTTTATTTATGAATCTATTTTGTTAGAGAAAGCTCTAAATTTTGACAGTGGATTACAGCAAGGCGATTTTGATCGCAATTGTTCAGAGACCGCGGAACGGTGATATCAGCTTGATTTTTTTTTCTTTAGGTAATCTACACGTCAGAAATAGTAAAGTAGTGGATCAACAAAAATGCAAATTGCCAAGATTTATGGAGAAAGTATTTTTAGATTGTGTCTGTGATTTTGTTGTGTCAAAAAGTGTTTTGTTTCACAAATAAAGATGTTTGTTCCCAAGAGAGGAGAGGAAAAGGTTGCAGTATAGATACGAGAAATAGAGTTTTGCAAATGTTTAATAGTGTTGTCATTGTGCTGTAAGTCTGTTTGTTAATTCTGCTGTTCAGTGGACGTCAGAATTGTGATTCAGATCAGAAATTAAGCTAAAACCACTTATTTTCATTGATAATGACACCTAATCTTTGGTTGTGCTATTGTTACAGCAGTTTTTCGTTTTGTTTGGTTCTATCGCCGATTCAGATTAATCATCGATGAAATTGTCGTAGGTGTCGCAGGTGAGAAAATTAAGTTTTTGTATATAGTTTAACTTTAATCGGAAAAAAAAAGTTTTTTTTTGAAGTCTTTATTGGTAGGAAATAAAATTTTAAATACATGTATTTAGTCGGGTAATGATGGTGTACTGTTTCTAATTGACCGGCTCTCTTCATCAGATTAGTGTTGGAAGAAGGTAACGGTCTTTGCCTACTGATTAGCCGCGATGGAATACTTATTCATCGGTTAGTCTGTCCTATGAATGTGTGGTTCTCACTAAGAGTACAAGAGCAGTTGCAATAGTTTATTTAATACTGTAAGTTAAATGATTGAAAATTGAATAAAAAGTTGACATTGGTACAGATCACAGTACCAAAAGCACTGATATGTAATGTTAGAAGGAGGCGAAAAAGGTAGTCAATTTTTCAAATATCAACGGGTCTTATCAAAATTTTGTGCATCACTATGCGCTTCCATTTTGTACAATTTCTTGTCGTTCCTACTGTAAAGAGCCTGAAATAGTTTAGAGGCTTAGTTTGTTGGATGTTTTAATTTTGGAAAGTTCATCGGCTGTTAAAATGACGCTTTTTAGTATATAATAAATTTTTTTTGTGGTTGGAAAATTTGTTTTTTTTCTTGGTAGAGATAAAATGTAGTCTTTTAAATTTTGAATTACAAATTTTGATAAAGGATTTTAAATAATGATGCAGTGTTGTCGGGGACCGAGGAGAACGGAGATGGAAGGATGTTTTCAAGAGAACTGGTGAGAAACTTTTTTTTTTTTTTTTGTCACGATATCTGTAGGTATATATTTGGAAGCACGAAGAAGCAAGAAGAAAGAAAGAGGTACCAAAATAACGTAAGGAAGTCATTTGTAATTGAAGACATTTTTGACTGAAATAATTGAACCCTCCTCCAGACAGATGCCTGCTGTTTATGTGTTGCTCACAGAAGGGGGCAAATTAAGACGTAGTGAAATGTAGTTTTTTTTCTAAAAACTTTATTATGGTTTTGTTGTGCGGTAAGTATTCCAATAAAAATGCCGATATAACATGACACCGCAACGTTTCTTTGAATTTACACTAAAGTGGTGGCTAAAATGGATAGACGATAGGCGAAAGGGGGAAAGAAAATTTAGTTGATTCCGCAGGGCAGTTGTTACTGAAATCCAGTTAATGAGTTGAAAAAAAATTTTTCTCTTGTATCTTTGACAAAATATTCAGTTTTTCAACTGTATATGACTTTTTTTTTCTTTGCAGCAGGAGGTTTACCGGTCGATACCGGAAGATTGTTTTCTGAATAGCTGAGTAAATGGGCTGATTCATGTTTCATCTACTTTTCTTTCGATTTTTCGTTGTTGTTGTTGCTAAAACTACTTGTTATTTCGTGGATTTTTTGATCAGTCAAAAACTTTTGTACTGAAGATTAGTTGACAGAAAAAGAAGAAAGTGATGAAAAAAGTTGAATTGATTACAGAGCACTTTATTGATGCTTTTTTTTTTTCACATTGTTTTTTAATCGCATTTATTTTAGCCAAAAATATCAGTGAAATTAAATGACTCACAATTGACATTATAATTTATAGTTTAAAAAAAAAAATTTTTTTTTGTATTTGTATATTTGCTGCTGTTATTATAAATATTGTTGATTATTCTCTGTAAATTAGTTGTTTTTTAATTGTTGTAACTTTTTTTTTTCTAATAACTTCAGTTGCTGCAATCAATTTTAGTCTAATCATATTAATCACCAGTGTAAATGTTGCTAAGGTTATCTATTTTTTTTGACGGTGAACAATTAATTTTAGTTTTTGATGGCTGATATTTTATGGTTTGTTCTGCTGAATAA